AAAAAAAAAAAAAAAAAACCCGCCTCTGTCGGTTCCTCTCACTGGCCAACTCTAGTTAATTCGCCTTTTCTGCTCTTCGCTCGCCTCTGCCACCGGGCGTCTTGGAGGACTGGCTCATCAAGAATCCTGGGGAAAAAATCCTTCGTGCTAGGAGAGAGAGAGGGGGGAAAAAAAAAATCGGAGACAGCCTCGTGGCTTCATGGAAATATATACGGTCCAAAATGGGATGTTGGAAGACGCTTTTCTTGCGATCAGCCAGAACTTCGTAATCAGAGTGCAGGATCCCGATTTCTCCAGAACTCTGCGCCAAGCAAAGCGGTGCTCGAAAGCTTGCAAGCCGCTTAGTGGTAGTGACATTTTGATATTAGAAGATGTAATTTGGTATCTTCCTAAACCATGAGGTTTTCGTCCCTGGTTGTTTGCAACATCAGGGCTTTTCGTTTACAGTATTTACCAGAAAATTTCTACAAAATTGCTCCTGAAAAGTATAACGGAGAAACAAAACCCGTTCAACAAAATTAGCAATTAGGCTTGGAGATCATTTATACACGGAGAAGTCAAATGTGTATCTTGAAGAACTGACAATCACTTTATTCTTTTTTTTTCCTTTTAGTCATTCTTGTATGTGGGAGTATATGAGAAATGCTTTATGCCTCTGACGAAGCAGATTGTTTCTTTAAAAATTACGTAAGGATTTCATCATCTTTAAGGGTCCATGCCAATTCGACAAATATGGATACCTTAGAAACTGTTACAAAGAATGGTTATAATATTGGCATTATACAGCCAAATTTTCTATGCAGAACTTAAACTGAAACGTACTCACAAGCTACTTTTATGTAAGACAATGAAGATTTGCCAGACCATATTCAGTTTATTTCTATTAAAATGTATCAGCCACTGGCCAATCTCAATTATTCTGATAGTGAATCTAGTTCATCTGCCAGTCTCATACAACTGGAACTAGACAGTGCTCCATTTCCTTCTAGATTAGATGTTGATAGTGCAATTGGCATACCACATTCACAACATTTTACAAGGGCACCAAACAGCATCGTTTTTCATTTATAATCCCAGTTTCCTGTTGTATCATTTTTTTCCAGAAAAAAAAACATTAATATAAAATGAAGTCACAATACACAGTATTTCAGCTGGCAACACTAAGAACCAACTGTTCCTTGATCAAGGAACCAACCAA